AATAAAATTTATAATAATATAAAAAATAATAATGTCTTTATACAACCAAGAATTTTATGAATAATAGAAAATAATACTATTTTTAATTTAATTATTTGTTAAATAAAATAAATTTTTTCTACTTTCTTTTGTATATTATAGAAATTTTTCAAGAAAACTTTTTTATTTATAAAATTAGAAAAAATTATTTTTTAAATTATTGTTTTCTCTATTTAAAAATATTTTTATTTATGTTTATTATACATTAATAAGTTTCTGAATTAGATATTCTTTAGAGAGAGTAGTGCAAAATTTTAAAGCAGCCTGATATTTTTAGGGTGAGGGCAACTGAAAATTTTTAGGGATGTTAATTGAAATTTTGAAGATATAATATTTAAGAGTAAATTATAATGACCTCCTATTTTTTGCTAAAATTATGAAGACCTCCCTTCTATTTTTAAAACCTATACTTTAGTCCAATTTCTAACACCATTAGCCATATTCCATCAAATGTTATAACATACTTTAATTTTTATTTTTAATTATGTTAAAAAATTTAAAATTATTAATTTTCCCTTATAATATAATTTTATATTCTCTCCCCCTCAATTTAAGAAAATTTAAATAAGTAATAAAATAATTAAATAAATAATTTAGAAATATTTTTTTAAATTAAATAAATTTTTAACGTAAATAAATATAAATTGTATTTACTAATTTATTTTTTATTTTATATTAAATCACTATTTCATCATGTTTTTTATGTACATATTTGAAACATTATTTTACAAAAATTTTGTATATATATTTTTTAAAAATTACTATATAAAAATTTCTAAAATTAATTAAAAGTTTTAAAATATGAATAAAATTTTAAAAACATATGCATTAATTTTTTATACTTCAAATGATTTTTAGATAATACTTTAAAAGAATATTTTGATCTAATATATATGACTTAATGATTAACTAACTATTAGGTGGATGTAAATGAATTTTTAAAAATAGAAGGAAGGTTTATATTTTAAAATTATTGTTTCTAAAGGAGGTTTATATATTTTAAAAATAAAAGAGATATATTAATAATTAAGATAAACTAGAAGGGAGGTCAATGTACGAAGGTCCCCCCCTGGTGTACCCAACTCTTACTAATATCATTGACTTCTTCCATAAAACATGATTTCACATTATTCAACTTTAAGAGTTAAAGAAAGTAAAGTTAATCAAAATTTGAACTCGTAAATAAGCAAAACTAAATCATGCAACGTATAATTACCTCTTTGGACAATGACTAGGGTGATGATATTAATCATTTGTTCATTACAAAATCTTAAAGATATTTTAAAAATATATTTTTTCTTTCTGATTCTTTTTTGAGATCAGACGTATTGATACTAAAAAAAGTGGATAGATACTCCATCCGGAAAGCCTTAAAAATTTTTAATATTTTAAAAATTTTTAATTTATAAATTATATTTTATTAATTTGTTATTAGGGTAAAGGGAAAAATTATCTAAAAAATAATCAGCCACGGGCGTCCAGTATTCTAAAATGAGAAAATATATATATATATATATATATAACATTACATGGATAGGTGCAAAAGTGACTAAACTGTTAACTTTAACCCAATAATGTTAACTTTGACTGTTAAATGCCGATTGTACATGTCATGTGTCAATCTTTACTGACGTGGACTAATAAAAGAGTAAACATACCTACAAAGTCATTAGCCATGAGCAAAAATACCCATAAAGTCATAGGTTAAGAGCAAAAATACCCATAACATTATCAGAGTTGGTGCAAAAGTCACTAATACTTCCAATCCCTTAAATGTTGACTGTTTAGTTAACACCTAAGCAAAAGTTGACTATTTTTCGCTGATGTAGATAAAAAATATTTCCAAATAAATTTTTATGAATATTGATCGATCATCATGTGAGTACCTATAATGTTATTTTAGTAGGTGCAATAGTAACTGATCCGTCAAAATTAATGCCATATGATTTCTTTCTATCGCCACGTATCATCCCCTTCCTTTTTCCTTTTTTACTCATTTTTTTGTCCTTTTTCTCATTTTAAGATAATGAATGACCCTAACTGATCACTTTATGAGTATTTTTATCTCTTTATTTTTTTATTATATCGTGATGCCTTGTAATACTTTTCTGTATCAGGTCTATAGATATTCAATCTATAAAATATTAGAAAATTTTTTAAAAAAATTAATTTAATATGTTACACTAAGTATTTTTATTTCTTGTTGCTTTTTCTAGATCAATCAGTTTACCCCGTGTGAAAATTATTTTCCAAATGGATTATTATATATCCGATCTAAAAAGTTAATTTTTTTTTATGGGTAATTATAAGTATACCACATGTTACATTTTTTTATATCGAGTTTTATTTTGGCCTATGTTAAAATTATTCTATAGATCAATTATTATACAACTGATCTAAAAAGTTAAAAAATTGTACATATAATTACATGTTAAAATATTACTTTTTTTTTCCAAATAGTGTAGCTTCTGTTTAATGATAATTATAAGCATTATATAGAAGTTGTTAGTCAAAAAAACTTATGGAACCCAAACCTATTTAACATAATGGTAATGCAATTTCAGAGGATCGGTTCTATGTTGTCAACTCTAGATGAATTATGGCAAAAATATATTTATTATGGTTTTACTTTTTAAGTTTTAATTAATTTTTTTTTTTGTTTCTTTTTGTTGCGTTTGTATATCAGAGAAGCTTATTTTCAAATAGTGTAGTAAACCTGACTTTTCAATCAAACAGTAAATTTTGGATTTATTACTGCTATAAAAAATTACAAAAAATATAAAATAGAAAAACATAAGAAAAACACAGGAGTCACAATCTATCAAACAGTTTGACTTTTAATGATAGAGATTGAAGTTTTCGAGTGGCTTTTGCAAAACAAAATATCAACGTATAAAGTGAATCTTAAGTATTAGAACAAAATAAAATTAAAGAACGTAAGAGAAACATATAATAATTAAAGAGAAAAATTAGAATAAATCTTCAGGAGATGCCAGTGAAATTGCCCTTTTAAGTCTTCATCATAATTATCTTCTAGTGGCGTACAATGAAAAAAAAAGGGGGAGAATTTTAATAAAAGATCAAGGATGTGACTTATTTTTAAATCACACCCAATAAAATATGAAATTACACTACAAGATCATAAGACTAAATTGAAATTATTTTTAATAAAAAATAACCAAAATGTCCTTTGTTTCTTTAAAAAGAAAAAAGAAAAACCACTACCTACCATTGTTGGAGGATCATTGTCGGTGATCGTAGCCTTATCGGTGATAACAGTCATTATTAGACCTCTATTACTGGAGCTCTAGTTGCTAGCTAGACTATCATCGGCAGTTATTGAAGAATTATAGAAAATTAAATTCTCCAAAAGTAGTCATTGAACACATTTAATTATATGATGCATAAAATTATATATATAATCAACCTTATTTTTCAAACCACTTAAATATTACATTACTTATTAATTATGTAACTTTACTTATTAATATCTTAACAAGACTTATTAATTATTTAACTTTTCTTGTTAAGTCTATAACTCTCAAAACAAAATTACATTACTTGTTAATAACTTAACATGAGTTATTAATTACTTAACTTTTCTTGTTAAATTCATGACTCCCACAACAAAACTATATCACTTGTTAATCGCATAACTTTACTTATTAATACTTTAATAAGATTTATTAATTACTTAACTTTTTTTGTTAAGTCCGTAACTTCAAGAACAAAAGTATATTATTTATTAATTACATAACTGTAATTGTTAATTATGCAAGAATTTGCGCAACCCACTAAACCAGCTTGATTTTTGGCCCAAAAAAACTAAACCAGGTTCATTAATATAAAATATAAATTTATACTAACTCATGTATTTAAAAGTAAAACATTATACTACCTCTGACCCTATTCAAAATAAATTCTAGAATATCACTAGTTTCCCAGTTGTCATAAAATACATAAGATTGGGTTCGCATTTTAAATAAAAAAATTGATTTTCCATAATCCTAATTATATAAAAATATAATAGTTTGTTATATAAATATTGGGATTTAGTATGTAAATAAAACTAAAAAAAAATAATTTTTTAGGTTAAAGGATAATTTTACTGTTAAACTATAAGTCCAAAAGCATCTACAACTATAAATTCTTTTTTAATATAATGTTACTCTTTCACTTTTAAAAATGATATAATCTCTCCCTCGATTAATAAAAATTAATTTTAACCGTTAATTGATCAAACAATTTCAAAAGAACGCCAAAAGTTTCAAAAAAGAACCCAAAAAAAAATCATAAAAACAGACCCAAAATTATATATCCGTCCTGTAATTTTTGATATATTTTTTTTATAATTTTACATCATTTTCAAAAGTTAAGAGATTCTATATATTTTATATAAGAAATGAGTTTAAGATTTCATGTTTTGGAATCTTTTATTTAGGAGCCAATTTACTATTTAACTTTAATTGTTTTATTTATCTAAGACTTGTTTTATAAATGTGGTTTTAATTCATGTGTCTGGCCTTTGGCCAAAATGGATAAAAGAAAAATTGTATAAGTTAAATCTAAAATTTAAATTTAAAGTTCTAGATATATGTTCTGAGCAATATGCTTTTCATTTAACCTTAGTGTAGCTTCTTTAAATTTTGAAGTTTCGGCTTGCCTTTTGTAACCCACCCAAAAAAAAAAAAAAATCGTTTGAAGCTTACCGTTAAAGAACGCGTAGGGTCCAGAAACCACACATCCCATGGGCTTATACCGTTAAAGCTTCGAACAATTGACAGACACATATGAAATAAAAAAACAAACGGCAACACGATCAACTCGGTTCAAATAGGCCATACTCACAAGCCTTTATTTTCATTCATTTTAATATATATATATATATATATATATTTTTTTTTTTTCGTTCAAAAAAAAAAATATATATATATATAACATCGCTTTGTTTCTAAGGCAACTTGATTCAGCTTTATTCTCAGGTTCTGATAAGTAATTGTATCATCTAAACCTGCACCTACCTTCATTATTACAGCCCACAGAATCCATACAGTTGTCTCTGCTGAAGAAAGTGAATGCTTGTTTTAGGTTTCTCAGGTTCAGAAATACAAGTAGTAGTAGAAGAAGAGGATCGTTGTCAGAGAGTTACGAGCCAAATTAAAACAGAGAAATGGGTATCTCATTATATTCTCTTGTAATCTTAATTATATGTCTCAGTTTCATATCGTCATCTTCCTCAGTTCAAAACACACTCTCTTCAGGTATACTTCTAACTTATCTTCATCTCTTCATATTGTTGTTGCCTCCCTCTACTTCACATGAACTTGATAATAAGCTAAAAGACAGAGAGAGAAGAACTAGGAGAATTACGTTCAAGTCTCGATGAATTTAATCAAGTTAAATTTAAAAATTTTGATAAAAAAAATAAATGGATAAATATATGGTTTTTAAATTTTGTAGTCATTTATAATGATTTATATATAACTGAAATTTTTATATATGTAATTTTCTGAATTAATATTTATAATTATCTTTCTGCTGATTATTTTAAAACTTAACTATCATGTTCGATTAAAAATAAAATGAAATAAAATTAGCATGTAGGATTAGTCGCTAATTATTTTCCAGACGTACAATATTATTTATGGATTATGTTTACTTAACCGTTTGGGAAGAGAATATATGCTTGGATTTATGATGAAGTAAAGTGGCAAACTTGAATTTGGGCTTTGTCTCTTCACACCTTGCCAGTCTTGTTCTCTTTCTTTCAAGAAGTTTCAGATATTACCGATTTTTCAGTCCCAATACTAATTAACTTTTTTAGATGGGCGGAAAAATGTTAGACATACTATTGTATGCTTTATTTTTGTGATACCTATCTTTCAATTTGGGTTTTGTTAACTTCTCCATCTAATTCGTCGTACTAGAGTTGGAAGTATGAATAAAGTTAATATGGGTTGACTTGAACTATTTGTTATGTAAGCCAGATCAGATTGTAATAAAATGAATTTTTTTTTTTAACTTAGACTATTTGAGTCCTGAATGGGTCAATTCATATGAGTTAGTGTTAGCCTATTTAATCCATATTTTTAGCAGGAAAAAAGAACTTAACCCATATCTTTAAATTGATTCAACCTTTTTCTCTTTTTTATGTTTGATTATTAGTGGTTTTTTTTTTCCCTTCCTGCAAGTCCATTTAAGCTTTGACTCCTTATTTTTGACATTTGAATTTTGATAGGTGTGGCAAGACTCATTTTTGTTTTGGGATTGTGGTAGGGGGATATAATTATGGTGGATAATTATATTTTCATTATGATGTGTTTTGATAATTATGTTATGATAAATATGTTTTTATGAATATAGATAATTATATTATGATTTGAATTTTTAGTTTAATGTATTATTGACATGCATTATTTAGGTATGGATTTTTAAAAAAAAAAATGTTAAATGAATTGGCGAATTGGCCCATTTATAATTCACCAAAAGATTTGGGTTAGGTTGAAAAACTTCCAACTTAAATGAAAATGATTTAAGCCCAACGAAACTCATTTTTTCTCTTAACCCATATTAATCAACTCATATAATTCAAGTCGACTCATAGTACCTCCTTTATAATAAGGTGGGAAACTTTCAATTTACATTTTGAATCATTTTTCTCACACTGATTTTTGGACAGAACTGGTGCAAGAAAGTAAAATGAAAGAAGGCCAAAGTATACATGCATATAAGGTGGCTAGAGGTGGAGCCTCCGGTGGTCACCCCTCATCAAGTCACCCCTCGCCCCACAATGACGGAAATGGTGGCAATTCAAGAGCGCCAGTGCTAGGTGCTGCAGTTATTCCAATTTATGCTGCTGGTGCTGCCGGTGCAAATAATCGTGGTCACCATCATGGTACCAACAATGGAAGCTTTAATAGAATTGAATTTTTCACTTTGCTCATGATCACCTTCCTCTATACCCCTCTCCTTCATCTATGTTTGTTCATATAATAAGTCACCATCAGATTTTGGATATCAAACATGCAACTAAAAAATATTTGTGTTTGATGCATTGATATCCAAAATTTGAAACCTTTGGTATCTAGAGTTAAGAGTGTAATGTGACATTTTAGACTGTCATAGGAACATATCATTTTGAGTGCCACATCATCATATCTTTTAAGAAAAAATGAAAAAAAAAGGTAGTCGAAACATCATTTTGAGTATCACTTATCCTTTTAAATTGTGTTTGAACTTTTCAATTTTCATGGTATCTTAAACTTTTAAATGTGATATCTAATTGCATTGTACAGTGCACAAAATAGTATCATATAATGTAAGAACTGTATATTAAACACTTTCCCTAGTCTTGTGTGCATGAAGTAGCTCTTTGTTTATATCAAACACTGTATTATTCAATTTATGTATTATAATGAGTTTGAAATTTTGTATCAGCTTGGTGCGCTCTCCCCCCCTCTCAAAAAGTTCTAATGATTATGTTTCACTCTACATAATTGCACATGAGATTTTCACATCATATATGGCTGCCTAATAATTGCTGTGTAATTCACAAGTTATGTTAATTTGTTGACCAATAATATCTCGACTGTTTTTTTGAAATAAAAAAATATTAAAAAAGCTTTTTTTCCCTTTCTTTTTTCAAAAGTCAAAACCATAAATACAAGTAATGCCATTACCTATTTGAAGTATAGTACTAGTATTTACAATCTTTACTTTGGTCTTATATTGCTCAATATGTTTAAGAAGAGGTTCCATTTACAAAGTATCATAACAAGTTATTCGTAATTGACCAGATCATTGATGAAAATAAAAAATCTCCAAATATCATATTCAAATCTATTGATTTTCTCCCAATTGATTGGACTGTTGATGCGATGATTTACTTCATGCTCCACTAAAAATTATTCCTATGTTCTTGAATAGGAATAAAGAATGTCGAACTTTGATAATTTTATTATCAGATCATTATTTTCAAATGGTCCCATATCAAAATATGATGAAAGGAAAAAAAAAAGGAATTTGATTAGTATGGTCCGTGGGTTACTATATATGCATTATGAAATATAAGAAATTTAGAGAAGAAAAAAAAAATTCTGATTGGCTTGCATGCATGCACAAAATGTTTGTACAAAAAAAAAAAGCCCAGAATTATATACCGTGTACTGTACTTTTTGATGTAATATTCTATAATTTTTTTATTTATTAACAGTCAAATTACATTTATTAATTATAAAAATAAAATTATATCATTTTTAAAAGTTGAAGGAGAATATTACATTAAAAACAAGTTTAGAATTTCGAACACTTTAAAACATCTAATTTAAAAGTTAATTTACTATTTAATCCTTTTTTTATTTAAGACCTGTTTATAAATTTGGTTTTAATTCATGTGTTTGGTCTTTGGCCAAAATGAAAAAGAAAATTCACATAAATTAAATCTAAAATTTAAAGCTTTAGACAGAACGCGTGGGCTCCAGAAATTAACGACGCGTTCCATGAATTGTTCAAAGTGTAAGATTCCAACAATTGAGAGACACATATATACGAAATAAAAACAAACGCGGCAACAGATTCGATTCGATCATGTTGGTTTAAATAGGCCATACGTAGTCACTTCGTTTAATTTCTAGCTGTAAGATAAGGCAACTTCATTGAGCTTTCTTCTCACATTCTTATAACTAATTGTATCATCAAAACCTGCACCTACCTTAATTATTTCTGCATTACAATATATATATATATATATATATATATATATAGCCTACAGAATGCATGCAATGAATATCGCAGAATTTTCTCTTGTTATCTTAATTATATACCTCAGTTTCGTATCGTCATCATCCTCAGTTCACAATAACCTCTCTTCAGGTATGCTTCTAACTTATCTTCTCTTTCAACATGGCAAAGTTTCTTTTAATTAAGGAATAATGACATTTAATGGCTTCTTAAGATAAAAATGGCTTATAAATCTTGCATTCAATATTATCTTGTAATAATATGTAGATATGTTGTTAAATGTTGAATTTTAACTTGTATTTTTTATTAGAGTTTTTTAAAAATTTAATAAATTAATGTTCATCTTTTAATAATATTATGTACATGTTTTTATAAAATAATATTCAATATAAAACTTATTGTGATAAATTTCTAGGACCTTAAATGTCATTCTTCCTTTAATAAATAAGCATTTGGGGGACAAAAGTGAAAGTAAGAACTAGGACAATTACATTTAAGTGGGGGTAGGAATAGGATAGGGCCTATATCCTGATTTATTTTAGACTTAATCTAGCCTATTTATTAAATAGATTCAGGTTAAGTTCAAGTTTTTTAATTAGGTTTATTTAATTAAATAAGTCAAGCTAGTTTTCCAAGGTCTAAATTTAACCTATGAAGCTAATAGGCTATCCTATTTACACACACAAATTATATAATATATTACATATATATCGATTTCACATGGTAGTTTATTAATCAAACTATTTTTTTAGTTTTAGTTATATTTTACTTATATATTAATTTTAATTAATGATTACTGCTTTATTATTGTATTGTGATTGGTAAGTTCTTTTAATTGTTATAAATTGTAATTGATTAATCAAGTTATATATTTATATTAATAGCCCTAAAGTATATTTTAAACATTTAAAACTAAAATGCAAACTTATTTAAAATAATTAGCTTTAAAAAGACTTTCAATTTAGGCAAAGCTTTAAGTAGATTCATGCTTGAGCCGTAAAAAAAGCTTTATGCAGGCTTCAGGTCAAGCTCAAGCATCTGACTTACCATACAGACTCAGGCCTATTTGGTCAAAACCTAGCTCGACCTAGTCTACCTCTACCTTTCCATTTAAGTTTCTATGAATGTAATGATTGTTAAATTTTAAAAATATTTAAAAATTGTAAAATTAAATTTCATTAATTGAAAATGTAGTGTTTAAATTTTCTAAGTCATTTATAATGATGTGTAACTGAAATTTCTATATATATATATATATATACATATATATATATATAATTATCTGAATATATAATTTATCTTGAGTAATTATTTTATAACCTAATTAGCATGTTGGATTAGTCTCTAATTATTTTCCAGACATACAATATTATTTATGGATTAAGTTAACTTAACGTGTGGCTTTTAAAAGACGACATTTCAAAAGAGAATAACGTTTTGATTTCTGATGGAGGAAAGTGGCGAACTTTGAATTTGTGCTTTGTCTCTTTACCACCTCCCTACGTCTTATCTTATTTTTCTTTCCGGAAGTTTCAGATATTACCCATTTTTCGGCCCCCTGTATAACTTTATTTAGGGAGATATTTTTAATTAAATTTTATTCTTTAATAAAATAATTATTTATTTTTAAATTAATATCAACTTTTCATATTTATTTATATTTAATAAGGTATTTTACTTTAAAATAAATATAAAATAATTTATTTATTAGGGACACTTTAAAAAAACAATAAGTACACAAAAAATACCTCACATTTTTTAATAGAAGGAGTAAGTCTTTTTAAAATAGGAAAATAACAATTTAATTTCTTAAAATGCAATAATCACAGCAAGGTCTCAAGAAATTTCTTTAAGATTAAATTTCTACATGATATTACTTTAGCATCTCTCTGTAATAATTTCACATGATTTAAAAATTTGGTATAAGTATTCACACATAAATTATAACTTCCTAAATCGTAAAAGAATACTAAAGTAATTTCACACATAAATTTAATATCAAAAAAGCCTCTTGAGACCTCATTGTAATTATCACATTTTACAAAACTAAATTATCATTTTCTTATTTTAAAGGAATTTATCTGTTATTCTTCCCTTTATTTATTTAAAAGAAAATTTACGTAAATATCAAATAAGAAAATTAATTAATTTTAAAGTAACTTCTCAATCTAATTCACCCAAGTGAGATGCTTTCAGTTTATATTTTTAATAATTTTTCTCACTGATTTTTGGACAGAACTGGTGCGGGAAAGTAAGTTGAAGGAAGGCAAACTGCATGCATATAAGGTGGCTAAAGGTGGAACCTCCGGTGGTCACACCGTACCCCGCAGCGGTGGAAATGACGGCGATTCAAGAACGCCCAAGCAAGGAGGTGCTAAGGTTATTCCGGCTTACGTTGCCGGTGCTGCCGGTGTGAATAACCGCCATAGGAGCAGCAATGGAAGCTTTAATAGAATTGAATTTCCCACTTTGCTCATAATCACCTTCCTCTATGCCCCTCTCCTTCATTTATGCTTAGTCATATAGTAAGTGACAAGCATTTTGGAAATTTTTTTTTTTGGGGCCAAACAGCATTCTGGATATCAAACATGCATTTAAAATTTGTTTTATGCATTGATATCCAAATTTTGAAACGTTTGATATCTGAAAATTAAGTGTGACGTAACATTTTTGAGTGTCATATGAACACATCAATTTGAGTGCCACACAGTAATATATTTTAAGAAAACAAAAGCGGTTAAAAAAAAGGTAGTAGCCAAGGGGTTTTATATCAGTATCACTCACCCTTTTAAATTCTATTTGGCCTTTTCAATTTTCATAATATCTTAAAATCTTAGATGTGATGTTAGATTGCATTGATAGTATTATATAATGTAAGAATTATATAACAAACACACTCTCACTAATCTTGTGTGCATAAAGTAGCTCTTTGTTTATAGTCTCTTGCCCAAGATTAGTTATTCTGCATTGTTCAATCTGTGTATTAGAATGAGTTTGTAATTCTGTATCCGGTTGGGTTTTATCCCCCCACCCCAACCCAAAATAAATAAATAAATAAAATCAATCTCAATCTCTCTCTCTCTCTCTCTCTCTCTCTCTCACGCGCACAAAAAACAAAAGGTTTGCTCACAAAATGAATGTCTCAAGGTACAGCTTTAATATCTAGCCAAATTTTTTTTTTAAAAAAGTACAGCTTTAATATGCACAGGAAGGCCTGACATACATGCTTTGAAGAAAACTGAGGTAGTTGCAAGTCAGAAATGCCTCAGATATTATTATAAATATTATTGGATATTAACTATTAATAAGTAACTTAAAATAACTTATATTTAAAAGAAAACCTAAGTATCTAACCTTATGTGTGAACGCGTGTTCAAGAAGCTGAAAGTATCAACAATAAAAGTTAGTCACAGAAAAAACTATCCAGCTGTCCTAATTTATTAGAAAAACATACTCTTCACAATTATGGTTTTATTTATTTATTTATTTTTCAACACCAATCAATTTTTATAAGGCTATATTTGGATTATCACTGAATGAGCTTTCTGAGCTCCTAACCTTAATTTGAAGAGCAAAAGTTTATTGGATGATTTAAAAATATGTTTGGATAAAAAAAATTCAAAAGAGCTTTTACTTTAAAAGCCCATTCAGATGGAAGCTCAAATTGGCTTATAGTAATGGTGAAGTGCATTGCATCTCAACCTAAGTTGGGATGTCAAAAACCTAAAAAATTATGTTTGGAGTAAAAAAAAAAATTTCAACTAGCGTTAGGTCCTAATGAGCGTTTTTGTGAAAGCCAACTGATTAGGCTTCTGCAGTAGCGTTTGTGAAAGCCAACACCCAATGCTTTTCCCTCTCTTCATTATCTTTACCTTTACCAATTCTCTCTGTGCTCTGCTTCTCACCTTCATTCTTCATGCTATCGTCATCCCTTGCTCGCCCTTCACCTCCATCTCCTTTGCTCTATCGGATCTGACTGGAGATTGCTATTGCCGCTCGATCTCAATTGTGTGTGTTGCTAGCATTTATGGCCATTGGTAACAGTCTTGGGCATGCAACTAGGTAGTTCAGTGGTTGGTACATGGTTTTCTTTTCCATTGTTACCACTGCATGTGAACTTAGCCATGCAAATCTCAAGCCTACTTTCTTTCTCAATATTGTTTTCATGGTAATAAACCCATATATTAGCATTGCAACAACTCATGATTTTCTCTCTTTTGGTAAATGCAAGCAAGCTTTTGTGATTGTCGTCATCTCTACAATCGCTCTGTCATCTGTCATCGTCCATGAGTTTTGTCATGGGTTCAATTGAGGTTGGACATCATCTACTCATCTTGTTTGTTCATAACTGGCTGTCTGTTCTGTGGTTCGAGGAAGAAGGGGATGATCGAGGAGGAATAATTATAAATATAAATATATTATAATATAATTATTATATTATAATAATTTATCTATTTCTAAATATTCTATTCCAAATTATAATATTATAAGATAATTATAATTATGGTATATAAATAAAATAATCCAAAAAATAAAATATCAATCAATTTTACAAAATAAAAATTCTATATTTTATGAAATTTAGAATTTAAAATATAAAATATCTGGAATATATGTGAAATTTATGAAGATAAGAAAGAATCTAAAATGTCTAGAACAAATAAAGAAAAATCATAACACAAATATCATAATACAAAATTATAATTTTATAATGTTCTGAATATGTTTTATTTTTATTTTTTAAGTTTAATATTTTATTTTCTAAAAATATATATCATATTTATTTAAATTTATAAATTTATTTCAAATTTTCATAATTGAGTATTTTGAATTTTATCATTTAATTCTGCATTTTTAAAAAATTAAGATTCTTATTTTATATTTGTAATCTATGTTTTTTTTAGTGGGATAAAAAATATGTTTTTTTAAATGTAATTTTAAGTTTCATTTTTTTTTAAATATCAAATTAGTGACAAAATATATGACAAAAATTTTATCATTATACATCTCAATTGACTTTTGAATTAAATTATTCAAACAAATTTCAGTTTGTCTAATTGACTTCTAAAAAAAAAGATATCCAAATATAAATCATGTTACATTCACTAATTTTTTTTTTAATTTCAATTTACTAATCTTAGTTAAAGCTTAACTTTAATTATAATTTTTTTAATCCAAATGAATGTTAAATTTTCCTGTGTTCTCTTTCCTCCTCTCTTCCAATTATGAACATACAAACATCATTATTTTTACAATCTTTTTCAGATTCAAAAGGGGAAAGCCTACGTGAGATTTTTCATTCTTGTTTATTTTTTAAAACAAAAATTCAAGGAGGAATTAACTGTAATTTTTAATTTATTTTTATAAAAGAATAAAAAACTATATATAACACAAATCATGTGAGATTGTTTATGTATGTTGTATAAAATTTAAAAATTAAATTGTATTATTTGTAATTTAGTAACATTCAATGTTTTATTAATTTCATATTTTATATCAAAAGAATATTAATATTAACAATTAATTTTTAATTTATAAATTTATTTTATCATTTCATTTTACATTTTTTCTTAAAAATTATGATTTTTTATTTACCAATTTATTTTAGATTTTTCAATTCTCTCTTAAAAGAAATTGTAATTTAAAGTTTATTATTCTTCTTAGAAATATTAAATGAGTTACAAAATATATTTATATATAACAAAGTTTATGTCTATTTTTATTATATTACATTTTAATTAATTTTTAAATTAAATCATCCAAACAAATTTCAATACTTTCAACTAACTGTTGAATAAAAAATATTTAAATATAAATCACGTTAAAATTACAAACTTTTCTTCTACCTTAATTGCAAATTTTTTTAATTCAAACACACATTAAGACAATGGATCCCAACTAATCTAGATTGAGTGGATCATACCACATGAATATAAAAACCTCCCCAAAAAATTATTAAATTCTCAAACAAATTACCCCAATATCGAATGGGAAATTTATTGCAAAAAAGGGGAAAAAAGGGCATGTCAAGCCCAATATGATAAATGTAGTCCAAAATAATATGAACGGAAAAAACAAAAAACCCATTTAACATCTTCTAAAGTAAGAGTTTGATTAAAAGGAACCAGCAGCTTTCCTCAATCTTAATTACAAGCTATGACAGCAAGAAGGTAAATTCTGGAATCAGACTCAATGTACAAGGTGAAGTATAGTACCACTTTCTACATCCATTACACTACTCAATTTGCTGAGCTCCAGTCCAGCTCCATCAACATTTGAACCCACCACATGCAATAGCCCATAATATAACGATTATAATGAGAATTCCTCCTCCCATCATCAACTTCATTTGAAGATTCTGCAGCCACATCTTTCGTCTTAGCTGCCTTCCTTGCCTCTGGAAGCTATCAGCCTAAAATTATAGAGAAAATAGAAACAATCACAACGTCAGTGCAAAATTATAGAGGAAATATTCCTATTCTGGTCCAATTTGATTCTCCACATATCATCTCTTTTCAATACCTCCCTCAACTATTGAAATTCTCGCAGTGCTGCCCTTTTGTTGTCATTTTCATCCAGAATCTAATGCCAAATCCATTAAGACACAGACTTGAATGTTACTTGTCACCTATTCTGAGGGTCAGTTTTGTTACCGATAGCATTCAAGTCAGCAGATTATCTGGTTTAGTAATCCAATGATTGAGGGAGATTGAGGGATTATGTTGAAAAGAAATGATACGTGGATGACCAAATTGGAAGTCTAACTATATGTTAAATCTCAAAATATAGTTTTTCCTCAGTTTATTCTTCAAACCAGCATAGATAAACCAGGGATAATACATACCTGGAACTGAAGGCTTTCTGTTTTATCCACCAAAAGTTCAATCTTCTCTCCACGATCCAAAACCTGTTATCCAGTGAGTGTAAAGATTGTTATTAGAGTAATAAATAATACTGAGCAGTAACAGACTTGATTGAGAAACAACAGACTTCCTGTTCCATATGATACAAGGAAGATCAGAAGTTAGAACATTATGTTTGTTATCTTGGCGATGGCAAGATGAGTTCTGTTGTAAAGAGTAAAAATCTTCGAACACTTTGTAATGACAAAAACCTAACACATTGCAATAGTCAATGTAAGCCAACGCTGTATTCATTTTAACTTATCCAGATTATATCCTAGCCAACAGAATCTACCCCATGAACACTTGATCTCAGCTATTAAAATAGTTAACCTTCTTTCATACAAAGATTTAGAAGAAAGCCAGAATGTTTAAGTGGTTTCTTCTCAAATTAACATTGTTAAAGCATAACTATAATAGTAATTTTGTAGACGCAAGTTTGTAAAGGAACATTGATACTTAACGTCAATGACTGAAAGAAAAGGTAGAGAATGTATTCTTCCTTCCCCTCGTAGAGAATTCTGAAATATTTACAAGAGTTGAGGGCCTGCATTTATAGGCCAAGAGACTAAGGAGAATTTACAATTGTATCCTTAAGGCTAAGGGCTAAGAATGATAATGTCCACAGAAGTTAACTTATTTACAATAGAGTGATTAAACAAAGTGACAATAAAAAGCACACTTTAACACTTCCCCTCAAGCTGGTGATAGTATACCATCAATTCCCAGCTTGATGATTAAGTCCTAAAAAGTGATACCAGACAACCCTTTACTGGCACATTTGCGAGCTGATCAACCATAGAGACGAAACAGCAGAAATCAAACCATCATCCAGTTTCATTTTGATGGAGACTTGGTACGAGATGTCTAAATGCCACATTGAGTAGCAGTGGAATGATGAATGGGGTATTTAATAGATCGATTCTCCCATCTCAATGGCTAGATTTTGGGGAAGATTCTCTATCCCACTTGTGTAACCATTAATTGGTATCAAAGTTGGCGGTCAACAGTTCTGGAAAGAACTACCAATGGTGGATCCTAACTAACAAGAAAGTTGAGTGAAGTGTCACAATACAGCCACAAGAATCTTGGCCCACCAAGGGGAGCCCAATATGGAAACTTAAGTTATTTGTATGCTTTATACGCGCCAAAAACAATTATGAACCCAAAACCATGATTTTTAAAAGAGTTTATATGGTTTTTGGATAAATTTTTAGGAATATATAATTGAAAATCAGGCAATAGTAGCTTATGATTTATGAGACAACCATGGTTTTAGGTTCACAATTAATTTTGACATGTATAGGAGTGTTTGAATATTTTTAAATTAGTATGTGATGCTTAGTAAAGTTCTTAAGTGGGTAACTAGCTTTTAGAAGAGAGCTGTCCATCCCGCTTGAGCACCTAATACCTATCACTCAACAATAAAAGAGTCAATCTACTTCAACAAGTTTCATTCAATCATGTACCAAAAGGGCAAATTTTTCGATGCTGTAGGTCAGATCACTAGAGAATTGTTCACTAGGAGCTCTAGGAAGAGGCCTCACCATAGGAAAGAAACTTAAGCTGTTTTGAAAGGTCATACTCATAGGTCGCTAACATATCCCCAAGTAGGCACTCTTGGCGTCCTTAGATAGAAACAAGACAAATGGCAGATATAGAATTTCAGCATTAAATCAATGTTAAGGCAAAGTTGAATTAAGCAAAATTTTCCAACAAACTTCTATTACCCAACTACAAATTCATTTTTGTCCTCTACATAGGAGTTAAAAGTGTACTCTATGGCCTTAGGTAGGCATCCCTTGTGGATCTATAAAAGGAATTGGACAATACTCTCCAGCTAATGAAGTCTGGGCTTTCTGCAGCCTCTTCTTGTTGTTTGAGGAGGATTTCTCAACCTCTATTTCTGTCTCGTTTTGTATTTTCTCTCATCATCATCATCAGTAGTAGTAATATCTGCAGCAGCAGCACTACTACTACTACTAATAATAATAATAAGAGACATTTATGACTATTCATCTGACATGTAAAGAATAAATAAATGAAGGACAATGGTTTTAGTTAGTTAGATAGATAGTTGTTAGGATTTGCTGTTAAGGGTCTATATAAGATCCAGTATAAGTCAGATAATGCATAATAGAAAAACCCAGAAATATTATTCAGTTTCTCTCTCTCTCTCTCTCTCTCTCTCTCTCTCTGATCCTTCATCTCATATCTCTCTATTTTCTGTTTCTCTTTCTCTCTTCTCTCTTGTCCTTTACCTTTCGTTTCCATTTTCCTCTGTTTCTACTTTGATTCTTCTCGCTCATCTTCCACCATATTATCGTCAAGCAATTTTTCTTTGGCCAAATATTCGGCAAGCAATTTAGATTTTTTTTTTTTTCCCCATGCAATCAGCAAACCAAAATTAACATCTATACAGGTTCTATGCATAGAAGCCCCCACCCCAAATATGTTTAAAATTGTGGATATCAACTAAGTTGGGCAAGCCAGGCCTAAGATTGAACCAACTCAAACCCCTGAACAATTCAAACATATGTCAACATAGCACCAAAACAACTTTGAATCGTAAATAGCAGAAGAAAAAGATGACACTACAAAATGTTCAATGATCTGTACTTACGGAAAACAACAATTCATATTTGTAAGTTATAATCATAATACTAGATTTAAACCACAATTTCAATAATTTAATGTAACTAAGTTCATACATTTTTGGGTAGAAAACAAATTGACATCAATTAATTCAAAAATAGCATTCCTCTGAAAAATTATTCAGGTAAGGTCTTCATTCAACATGTTACAAAAAAGCTATAACCAGAATCCACTACCTCATTCACGCCTCTAAGTCTAGAACCAGAGCTGACAGTATATGGTAGAAACAAGAAGCCTAGAACCAATACCAACATAATTATAACAGCACAAAAAACTGTATTTGTGGGAATGTGTCAACAGACCGACTCCATACCTTCTCAATATTGTCAATCATTATCCCCTTGACCTCAGTTATTTGAGCCTTTAATTTCGATAGTTTGCTCATTTCTTCTGGATGGTTCATGCAGTACTGCATGTGCTCCTTAAGTCTTGGCCTGTGTAACAGGATACGAACATATACAGGATCAAAACATTAAATGACTAAAAACACCACCAAACTGAAATGAAGACAACAAGTAACAACAACATTTTCTGACACGGGATAAAGGTTAAACAAACCCAAATTCTCTGTCTAGACTATAGGCAATGCTAAATCTGTCTTCAAATAAAAACTCATCCTCGTCGTCATCAGCTAGTGGATGGGCACCTTCACTCTTAATGCTTTCACCATAACGCTGTTTAAAATCATCCTTCACACGATCAAGAAATACAAAAGGTACACTGCGTCCTATGGTTTCACCAGCAACAACAAGAAAAACTGCATCAACGGGAAAAGCTTTCAGATAAGCCTTATAGACTCATAGATTAACCAATAATACATGATAAGAAATAGGAATAATCAATACCAAATCCATTGTCAATGAGGAAGTTGAATGTGTATCCATCACATGAGTATGTGTATTTGCTGCTATTTGAAGGCAGCTTCTGCAAGCATTGAACAGCAATGGTACTGAAATTTCCTGAATATGAAGTATGCTCTGCCAATACGACAGTCCCTTTTGCAACGAAGCTATAAACTAAACCCCTCTGACTCATCTCCAAGGAGCTCCAGGAACAGAATATAACCAAAGTCAGGCCCCCAAATGCAACACGACCTACTTAACAAGTAGATCCAAAATATAATCCAACAAAAATGTCAGAAATATCAAATACCACTCCCTACAACAGCCGCTGGTAGATTATTAAGCCCTAATTCGCGTAAGAAGGTATATCTACGACGAGTGCAAGTAAAGTAATCAAAGCATAAAATGTTCAATCCTCGAAGAAAAATGGACATTCACAATCTGGAGATCCATAACCAAATATTAACTGAAAAAGCTAATGTAACATCCGGTCTAACAATTGCAAGCAATCAAACCCAGCCACCTATTTCCTAACTGTTTCGTAATTTTGTCCTAGAGCACAAAGAGAAAGCGCAAATCCCAATCGTAAACAGACCAAGCTGTTCCAAATACGACTATGGAAAATCCATCTACCCAACCCCGATCTAATCAGATGAAAACTCAGATTGGGCGAAACGAATATGGCTCGAGAAGAATTAGAAAGGAACAAGAAGGGAACCTGGGATTGTTTGCTGTGTACAGATGAATGATGATGCCTTGGCAATTGATTAAGGATGATGACAAGGCTTGCAAATCAGCTCCCACGCGTCGAGCTGAAGCTGTGAATGAATGACAGTCCAGTTGATAGAGAGCCGAGCCAAACTCGGCGGGTTAACCTGATTAAAAAAAAGTTAATATTGAATTTAGTTATATGAGTTTTTTAAATATATGAATTTTTAAGTTTGATTTAAAAAAATTTGATTCAAATAAGCCTGATTGTTAAAATTTTAAATTTTATATGTATATAAAGTGGCAATTTTGACCAAGCCTAATCAGTCAATCCAAACTTAATTAAAAAAAGTTAAGGTTAAACTTGATTATATAAACTTTTTAAGGAGGTAAAATACTTCAAGTCTAATTCTAATAAAACTAGCCTAAATTAAACCCCATCTAAATAAATTCGACCTATCTAAATTATCAATTCTATCAATTAGAGATTGATCATCCAGGAACGAGTCTAAAGCTTAGCAATCGGGGGTGCCAAGATAAAAATAAAATGATAAAATCTAATTTAAACTATTTTGCAAGTAAAAAAAGTAATTTTTACAAATGGCCAATGACGGATGGAGGGCAAGAATTAAAGCTATTAATTAGGACCAAATCTATTAAGCTAGTTCTTTTAAGCTCAAAAATAATTAGGGCCAAGCCATTACTTAAAAAAAAAGATAATTTAAGCTTAAAAAGACTGACCCTTTTAAACTTAAAAATAAAAGAGTCGACTCTTTAGAGTTAGGATTGGCCTTTTTAAGCCTTTTTATTATTTTTTTAAAAAAATTGTAATATCAAAAATATAAGATTAAATATATAACTAAAAAAATAAATATATTAGACTCATTTGTTCCTCAATCATTTATTTATTAAGATTTAGCTAATAATCTTAGTCAAGTCTAATTTTTATTAATATTAATTTTAATGTTGCTATTTGATATTAAACCTAAATATTTAAATTTTTTAATTTTTTGTGGTATAAATTAATTTAAATTTATTTTCTTTAATTTAATTTTATGCATAATAACTTTTTTTAAATTATAAATATATTTTTTAAAATTTTAAATTAAAAAAAGTAAAAAAAAAATGCCGAGACACAAGAACTAAGTTCGGGCTTTATAAAAAAAAATTTAAAATATAATTAAACTTATTAAAATTAATCCGTTTAAACCTTAATCTTTCGAAGGCCAGCTCTTTAGATGAAGCTGGCCTTGATTTACAACTTTAATAAGAACCCTTCTTTGACATTGTGGGTTTGTCAGTGTAACCACCAGTGTGCACGTAACTTGTTTATGCACGCTGAAGGCTGAAGCTATTATCAATTGTCTAAAGTTCATAATTTAATATTATATATATAATACTTCCTCTCCTATAAAACGATAGTAACGTATTTTTAATTCAATAAGTTATTTAATTATTTTTAAAATTATATATTATTACCATATTCGTTCTTACTTAATATTCATATTAAAAATTTTATTAATTACACCTCTAATAAAAAATAATTTTTAGAAATTATTAATTTCTTATTGAAATATTTAAAATACTTTATATTTTTAAACATCTCACCTTAAAAAAATATTTTATATTTTTAAATAGAATGAGTAAAGGTCTAAAACGTATTTTTACTTCAAGTCACTTTTACATAAGAAGCTCATATCTTAAATTTTTTTTATAGTGCAATTTTCCTTTTTAATATTTGAAGGCAGTTCAATTTTATTGTTATTTTATCATTAACAAATATTAATTATAATCATTAACCAACTCAAAATTAAAAAAAATGATCTCAAAATTTATTCAAAAATGATCCATAAAATGTCAAATGAGTTACCCTAAAATAAAATGAATATAATTAAGTCTCATAAATTATAAATAAATTTTAAATAATTAATGACATTTCTTATTCATCTGAAAAACCAAAATACAAATTTAATTCGCCATTTTGATAGGCTACCGGTGATTATTAGTCATGTTGGCAAAAACACTAGTCAGTAATTAAAAATATTGTATTTGCTTTAATATATAATAATCTAAATATTATTATTTACCAATCTTTATGTGCAATTTACAAATCAACTTCTGATATTTTAAAATTTTCTAAAAATTTATAACTTAACTATTGTATCTATAATTTATAAGTGAATGTATTTTTATACTAGCAGTAAATTTCTTATATAAAAAACATTTACTGGAAATACTAAATATCATTAACTATCAAGTGGTGCAATGTCATCCTCTAAGTACTAAAAAAGATAAAATGTTGCTCCCTCTATGAAACATTCATTAATTTTTTTTAAAAAATGTGACTTATAAATTCCAATTAAGTCCTGTTAATTGCAAATAAATATCAAGGGAATAATGCTATTTCTTACCTTCATAAACGATCACAATATTATTTTAACCAACTACGTTTACTGATTACTGTGTGATAATCGAATAACCATTGTTAATAATAATATTGATAAATAACTATTCACCAAAAAAAATATTGATAAGTAACTAAATTATCGCACTATTTAAATTTATAGCTCATCCAATACTACAAAAAAAAAACTATTTATAAAATCTCGCATACATGAGTTGAATTGCAAATTTTTGAATAGGGAACTTGTAAATCTTGGATACACTAGTTGAGCTATAAATTTTTAAAGGACGACTCATAAATTTTGGAGGAAGATTTATAAATTAAGATTAAAGAATAATTTGATCCTTAAATTATAAGTCTAAGAGTAATTAGGATCTTAAAATCTTATTTTTTTCCGTAAAATATTTTCCTTCAACTTTTAAAAATAATATAATGTAACTCTTACCATTAACAAAAGTTAACTTGAATGATTAGTTGACCCAAAAATGAGATAAAAGATAAAAAAATTATAGAAAAGAACAAAAAATTACATAGAAAAACCCAAAAATTACAAAAAAAAAGTATTTTCTATAATTTTTAAGATATCTTTCTTATCAATTAATGATTAAAGCTAACTTTTATTAACAATAGAGGTTACATAGCATTGTTTTCAAAAGTTGAGGAGGACATTGCAAAAAATAAAAAATAAAAAAAAACAAGTTTAATGTTCCAAATGCTTCTAGATCTGTAGCTTTAAGGTCAAATTACTATTTAACCTCATAAATTATTACATATTAACTTGTAAATAACATATACACTATTTAAGTTGTAAATTTATGGAGGATTTGTAAGTCTCAAAAGTTAACTTGTAAATTATGTATGAAGATTTGAAAATAACATTAATATTTAAATTATCCAATATTTTAATAATATTTTAAAAGTTGACTTGTAAATTATGTATTAATATTTTCATAAGATGTTATTAATATTTCAAGTTTCATCCACTTTACCTCAATGCTAGTCAGAGTGATTGATTCAAATGATATTTTAGTCTTTTATATGAATAAGAAATAACATTTGTTCTTGCTGTTTATTTATATTTTTTAGAACCTAATTGATATTAATTTTTTTATGAAATACTTATTTGCAATTTTTTAGATCATTTTCAATATCTTTTTAGGTTAATTAACAGCCAAGATAATGGATATTTAATGAAGGGATAACATTATCCTATTTTTATTACTTTGAGAGTGACATTTCACCACTTAATAGTTTAACTCAGAATTTCCAAATCCCTTGAGAATAGTTTAAAGAAAAAGAATGCCCTTTAATCCTTAATTAAATCTCATCCATTAATCACATATGAGATGATCTATATATGTTTTGGCATTTGAGGTGAAGTGAATGAAACTTGAAAAGTGTAGAAGCTTTTCTCAAATCCTAAACCGGGAAATTAGGGTTGAGGCAAAAGAGATGATGAAGGAGAAGGAAAAGATAAGAAGGATATGAAGGAGAATGGGAGGGATCTGAAACTGTTGGGTTAAAATTTACTATAAATTACTAATTTTATGAATTAACATTAATTAAGTAACTAAGGGTTAATATGCAATTTGAACCTTGAATTATAGATTCAAGGATGATTTGAACCCTAAAATTTTTATTTAGTACATTCTAAATCCTAAACAAAAAAGTGAGAATGCAAGAGGGCCTAGAAAATGATAGTGGCAATGGCGATGAGGGGAAAGGCGATGACCCTAGAGGAGGGGATGATAGTAGAAAGGCAGCTTTGTTAAAAGGACATGGTGATAAGTAAGGGTTAGGGGAACTCGAGAAAGATCACCTATAAAGAATCCTTATTAAGTCTAAATTCATCTAGTTTTCTTTCCCATAATGAGGAAACTGATGATGTTATGCATGGCTAGAAAGGATATCTTGAAGAAAAGGAAGGAAGAGGATGCTGAATGTAGGGAGGAGAATTTAGAGGATGAGAGCCTAGAGAATGATCCTCATAAGGTTGAGTGCCCTAAATTGAAGGTTCTAGAGGAAGCCTATACTGCATGTGTGAACACCATATTTTGTCTGGAAATTTTTTTAAATAATAATAAATAACCAAAATATATAAAAATATAAAAAATATAATAAACATAATTAAAAAAAAGAGCTATTAGGATTTTTAGGATTATATTTTCTTTTTAGGATTATATTTTTAAAAATATTTTCTTAATCCAAAATCAATTTTTTTAAGTCACTTGACCCAATTTTTGAAATTAATAAACATAATTAAAAAAAGAGTAATTAAAAATTAAAATAAGTTGGGTCCTTCATGCACATGTTACAGCAAAAGTGGATAAAAAAATTCAAGGCTGGACGAACCATGGACCAACACAGCACACGAGAGAAACAAGAAATCTGCAGAAGCACACACACGCAACACAGAAAGGAGAACACACATGCACATATACTTTCGGCCATGCAGCAAAAACAAAAGAAGCAGAAACAAAAACACGTAAGATTAGTTGGAAACAAAAGCAAACACGATAGAAGTAGAGAAAGAAAGCAGAATGAGCACACACGGTCAAGCACTAAAGGGCAAAGTCAGAGGTAGCAGAGAAAGACAGTAG